GTCTCTATGTATCTTTATGGGTCTCTGTGTATCTCTATGTATCTCTATGGGTCTCTGTGTATCTCTATGGGTCTCTGTGTATCTCTATGTATCTCTATGGGTCTCTCTGTATCTCTATGGGTCTCTGTGTATCTCTGTGTATCTCTGTGTATCTCTATGGGTCTCTGTGTACTCTATGGGTCTCTGTGTATCTCTATGTATCTATGGGTCTCTATGTATCTCGATGGGTCTCTATGTATCTCTATGGGTCTCTGTATCTCTATGGGTCTCTGTGTATCTCTATGGGTCTCTGTGTATCTTTATGGGTCTCTGTGTATCTCTACAGGTCTCTATGTATCTCTACAGGTCTCTATGTATCTCTATGGGCTCTATGTATCTCTATGGGTCTCTGTGAATCTCTATGGGTCTCTATGTATCTGTATGTATCTCTATGGGTCTCTGTGAATCTCTGTGGGTCTCTATGTATCTCTATGGTCTCTATGTATCTCTATGGGTCTCTGTGTATCTCTATGGGTCTCTGTGTCTCTCTATGGGTCTCTGTGAATCTCTATGGGTCTTTATGTATCTCTATGGGTCTCTATGTATCTCTATGGGTCTCTATGTATCTCTATGTATCTCTATGTGTCTCTATGGGTCTCTATGTATCACTATGGGTCTCTGTGAATCTCTATGGTCTCTATGTATCTCTATGGGTCTCTGTGAATCTCTATGGTCTCTATGTATCTCTATGTCTCTATGTATCTCTATGGGACTCTGTGTATCTCTATGGGTCTCTGTGTATCTCTATGGGTCTCTGTGAATTTCTATGGGTCTCTGTGTATCTCTATGGGTCTCTATGTATCTCTATGGGTCTCTGTGTATCTCTATGGGTCTCTGTGTATCTCACGGGTCTCTATGGTCTCTATGGGTCTCTGTGTATCTCTATGGGTCTCTGTGTATCTCTATGGGTCTCTGTGTATCTCTACAGGTCTCTATGTATCTCTACGGGTCTCTGTGTATCTCTATGGGTCTCTGTGTATCTCTATGGGTCTCTATGTATCTCTATGGGTCTCTGTGTATCTCTACAGGTCTCTATGTATCTCTACGGTCTCTGTGTATCTCTATGGGTCTCTGTGTATCTCTATGGGTCTCTGTGTATCTTATGGGTCTCTGTGTATCTCTATGGGTCTCTGTGTATCTCTATGGGTCTCTGTGTATCTTTATGGGTCTCTGTGTATCTCTACAGGTCTCTATGTATCTCTACAGGTCTCTATGTATCTCTATGGGTCTCTATGTATCTCTATGGGTCTCTGTGAACTCTATGGGTCTATGTATCTGTATGTATCTCTATGGGTCTCTGTGAATCTCTGTGGGTCTCTATGTATCTCTATGTGTCTCTATGTATCTCTATGGGTCTCTGTGTATCTCTATGGGTCTCTGTGTATCTCTATGGGTCTCTGTGAATCTCTATGGGTCTTTATGTATCTCTATGGGTCTCTATGTATCTCTATGGGTCTCTATGTATCTCTATGTATCTCTATGTGTCTCTATGGGTCTCTATGTATCACTATGGGTCTCTGTGAATCTCTATGGGTCTCTATGTCTCTATGGGTCTCTGTGAATCTCTATGGGTCTCTATGTATCTCTATGTGTCTCTATGTATCTCTATGGGTCTCTGTGTATCTCTATGGGTCTCTGTGTATCTCTATGGGTCTCTGTGAATCTCTATGGGTCTCTGTGTATCTCTATGGGTCTCTATGTATCTCTATGGGTCTCTGTGTATCTCTATGGGTCTCTGTGTATCTCTACGGGTCCTATGGGTCTCTATGGGTCTCTGTGTATCTCTATGGGTCTCTGTGTATCTCTATGGGTCTCTGTGTATCTCTACAGGTCTCTATGTATCTCTACGGGTCTCTGTGTATCTCTATGGGTCTCTGTGTACTCTATGGGTCTCTATGTATCTCTATGGGTCTCTGTGTATCTCTACAGGTCTCTATGTATCTCTACGGGTCTCTGTGTATCTCTATGGGTCTCTGTGGTATCTCTATGGGTCCTCTATGGTACTCTACTATGGGTCCTCTGTGTCCGTCTCTATGTGTCCTCTATTGTATCTCTACGGGTCTCTAGTGTATCTCTATGGGTTTCTGTGTATCTCTATGGGTCGCTGTGTAATCTCTACACGGAATCTCTATGTATCTCTATGGTCGCACATGTTGTATCGCTATGTATCGTCTATGGGTCTCGTGTATCTCTATGGGTCTCTGTGTATCTCTATGTATCTCTATGGGTCTCTCTGTATCTCTATGGGTCTCTGTGTATCTCTATGGGTCTCTATGTATCTCTATGGGTCTCTGTGTATCTCTATGGGTCTCTGTGTATCTCTATGTATCTATGGGTCTCTATGTATCTCGATGGGTCTCTATGTATCTCTATGGGTCTCTGTATCTCTATGGTCTCTGTGTATCTCTATGGGTCTCTGTGTATCTTTATGGGTATCTATGTATCTCTACAGGTCTCTATGTATCTCTACATGTCTCTGTGTATCTCTATGGGTATCTATGTATCTCTATGGGTCTCTGTGATCTCTATGGGTCTCTATGTATCTGTATGTATCTCTATGGGTCTCTGTGAATCTCTGTGGGTCTCTATGTATCTCTATGTGTTTCTATGTATCTCTATGGGTCTCTGTGTATCTCTATGGGTCTCTGTGTATCTCTATGGGTCTCTGTGAATCTCTATGGGTCTTTATGTATCTCTATGGGTCTCTATGTATCTCTATGGGTCTCTATGTATCTCTATGTATCTCTATGCGTCTCTATGGGTCTCTATGTATCTCTATGGGTCTCTGTGAATCTCTATGGGGTCTCTATGTATCTCTATGGGTCTCGTGTGAATCTCTATGGGTCTCTATGTATCTCTATGTGTCTCTATGTATCTCTATGGGTCCTCTGTGTATCTCTATGGGTCTCTGTGTATCTCTATGGGTCTCTGTGAATTTCTATGGGTCTCTGTGTATCTCTTGGGTCTCTATGTATCTCTATGGGTCTCTATGTATCTCTACAGGTCTCTATGTATCTTTTTGGGTCTCTGTGTATCTCTATGTAAATCTATGGGTCTCTGTGAATCTCTATGGGTCTCTATGTATCTCTACAGGTCTCTATGTATCTTATGGGTCTCTGGTATCTCTATGTAATCTATGGGTCCTGTGAATCTCTATGGGTCTCTATGTATCTCTATGGGTCTCTATGTATCTTTATGGGTCTCTGTGTATCTCTATGTAAATCTATGGGTCTCTATGTATCTCTACGGGTCTCTATGTATCACTATGGGTCTCTATGTATCTTTAGGGTCTCTGTGTATCTCTATGTAAATCTATGGGTCTCTATGTATCTCTACGGGTCTCTATGTATCACTATGGGTCTCTAGTATCTCTAGAACCAGTGGCATCTACAGAACGTGAAGAACCAGTGGCATCTACAGTACATGAAGAACCAGTGGCATCTACAGTACATGAAGAACCAGTGGCATCTACAGAACGTGAAGAACCAGTGGCATCTACATCTGTAGAACGTGAAGAACCAGTGACATCTACAGTACATGAAGAACAGTGGCATCTACAGAACGTGAAGAACCAGTGGCAATCTACTGACAGAGTTGGGACACAGTCATTGTTATGCAAGTCCAAGTCGAGTCTCAAGTCATTAAATCATGACTCGAGTCTGACTCGAGTCCAAGTCACATGACTTCGATTCCACATCCTCAGAGGTGGGACAAAATGTCATTGTTATGCAAGTCCAAGTCGAGTCTCAAGTCATCAAATTCATGACTCGAGTCTGACTCGAGTCCAGTCACATGACTCTGAGTCCACACCTCAGAGGTGGGATCAAAGTCATTGTTATGCAAGTCCAAGTCGAGTCTCAAGTCATCAAATTCAGACTCGAGTCTGACTCGAGTCCAAGTCACATGACTCGAGTCCACACCTCAGAGGTGGGACAAAGTCATTGTTATGCAAGTCCAAGTCGAGTCCTCAAGTCATCAAATTCATGACTCGAGTCTGCCTCGAGTCCAAGTCCATGATTCGAGTCCAACACTCAGAGGTGGGACAAAGTCATTGTTATGCAAGTCCAAGTCCGAGTCTCAGTCATCAAATTCATGACTCGAGTCTGACTCGAGTCCAAGTCACATGACTCGAGTCCACACCTCAGAGGGGGGACAAGTCATTGTTATGCAAGTCCAAGTCGAGTCTCAAGTCATCAATTCATGACTCAGAGTCTGACCTCGAGTCCAAGTCACATGACTCGAGTCCACACCTCTGCATCTACATCTGTAGAACTGTGAAGACCGTGGCATCTACAGTACATGAAGAACCAGTGGCATCTACAGAACGTGAAGAACCAGTGGCATCTACATCTGTAGAACGTGAAGAACCAGTGCCATCTACAGTACATGAAGAACCAGTGGCATCTACGAACGTGAAGAACCAGTGGCATCTACATCTGTAGAACATTCCACATCTGTAGACATGAATAACCAGTGGCATCTACATCTGCAGAACTTGAATAACCAGTGGCATCTACATCTACAGAACGTGAATAACCAGTGGCATCTACATCTACAGGAGGTTATACAACTTTAAAATCCATTCCTCGTGTTTTTAACAACTTACGAACACCTCGACTTACGAACACAAACATCCACGTTCTGTAAGTCGAGGACACAAAGACAATAAATAAATAACTGCCCTAACCCCCCAAGAGATTGCCCCCCCCCCCATTCTCTATCCGCTGCGAACGTTCTGGACGGGTGACGTCATCGGCCCCCTCCCCCCTCACCCGCGTGGCCCGCCCCCTCGTCGTGACGTCACGGGGCAGGGCGTGGCGCCGACTATAAAAGGAATTTCGCCGCCGCATTGGAAGCAAAGTGGCGGAGTGTGGTTTGTAAATTTCTCTGTCTAAGTACTCGTCCGTCTTTGTATCTCTTTATTCTCCCGGCCGCCTTTGTCTCTCTAAAGCGATGTCGGCAACAACACCAATGCCTCATGCCTTTGGAAGCGAACCCCGAGGTGAGAGAGAGCGAGAGAGAGATGAGTGTTGGTGGTGGTGAGCTTGACATTGTTGCGTGTGTGACAATGTAAATTGATTAGTCGTTTGTAATCGCATTAAAAGCTGTCGTCGGGCGAGTTAGAATAAGGTGTAAACTGCTGTAACGATGTTAATGATTTATATCGGGATAATTTGGCGCGAAAATTGCGGTTTTTTTACCTCAGAAAGCTTAATTGCAATGTTATAATGCATCATATTGTCATTAATTGTATTAATAATTATTTCAGCGGAGTTAAAATAAGATGTAAACTACTGTAACGATGTTAATGATTTATATCGGGATAATGTAGAGCAAAAATTGCGATTTTTTTACCTCAGAAAGCTTAATTGCAATGTTATAATGCATCATATTGTCATTAATTGTATTAATAATTATTTTAGCGGGGTTAAAATAAGGTGTAAACTACATTAACAATGTTAATGATTTATATCGTGATAATTCTGAGCTAAAATTGCGGTATTTTTTACCTCAGAAACCTTAATTGCAATGTGGCAATGCGTTCTATTGTGTTAATTACATTAAGAATGATTTTATTCGAGTTAAAATAAGGTGTAAACTACATTAACAATGTTAATGATTTATATCGTGTTAATTTGGCGCTAAAATTGCGGTATTTTTTACCTCAGAAACCGTAATTGCAATGTTATAACGCATCATATTGTCATTAATTGTTTTAATAATTATTTCAGCGGAGTTAAAATAATGTGTAAACTACATTAACAATGTTAATGATTTATATCGTGATAATTTTGCGCTAAAATTGGGATTTTTTTACCTCAGAAACCCTCATTGCAATGTTATAATGCATATTGTCATTAATCGCATTAAAACTCCCTTCAGTCGAGTTAAAATAAGGTGTAAACTATTATAACAATGTTAAATCTTTATATCGTGATAATTTGGCGCGAAAATTGCGTTTTATTTACCTCAGAAATCTTAATTGCAATGTTATAATGCATCATATTGTCATTAATCGCATTAAAACTCACTTCAGTCGAGTTAAAATAAGGTGTAAACTACTGTAACAATGTTAAATCTTTATATTGTAATAATGTGCCAATAAAATAGCGATATTTTTTACCTCATAAACCTAAATTGCAATGTTTTAATTCATTATAATGTCTTTAATTGCATCAAAATAATTACTAAGCCGCGTTAAAACAAGATAAACTACGATAACGATGTTAATCTTTAATACCGTGATTATGTGGCGATACAATTGCAATACTTTTACACTTTTAATTGAAATGTTTAAATGCGTTACATTGTGTTAATTGCAATTAAAGTTAAAACTATTATAACTCTAACGCTTTAGACCCTAACAAGGCGTAATGATGACATTTATTGTGCAAATGTTAAATCTTAAGACGATACTTTACAATCTATAACTAATTATGTTAATTATGGGGGGCTAATGACAATGTTATAAGGTAATAATTACTAACATGACATATAAATTAGCTAATCATAATGACTAATGTTATATTCCATTTAAATAAGCTAATCATTAGAATTACTACTAATGTTATATTCCATTTAAATAAGGTAATCATTATAATTACTGTTATATTACATTTAAATAAGCTAATCGTCATAATTACTAATGTTATATTCCATTTAAATAAGCTAAATCATTCTAATTGCTAAATGTTATATGCCGTTAATATTAATAAGAGATTTATTACGGCTAATGTTGCATGCCATTAATAGAAATAAACTTATTCTTGGTTCTTTCGGTCACGTAGAAGGGAAATAATAAAATAATAAATAAATATGAATCTCTGCAGTCACGAAAGATTTAAATAAAAAATAAGCTTAATTATTAAAATTAGTAATGCTACATGCCATTATATAAATAAGCTAATCATTATATTGACTAATGTTATAACCCATTAATGTGAATAAGCTAATTGATTATAATTAAAAGTACGGGGGGGTGGGGTGAAAAATACCACAACTTTTAAATGTTAACATTTTATTTTGACTTCATCATCATCGTTATAAAAGGAGATTTTAAAAGTTGTAATACATTTTGTAAAAAAAAAAAATTGGAATGGAGGGGAGAGAATTGGTAGCTCGGATAGGCGAGCAATGCCCCGGTCAGAGTGGAATTGGTAGAGCGGATAAGGGCCGCAGTTTGATTTGCGCCGCTTAACTAATTGTGTTGTGTGTGTGTGTGTACACGTGTGTGTGTGTGTGTACGTGTGTGTGTGTACACGTGTGTGTGTACACGTGTGTGTGTGTGTGTACGTGTGTGTGTGTGTACGTGTGTGTGTGTACACGTGTGTGTGTGTGTACACGTGTGTGTGTGTGTACACGTGTGTGTGTGTGTGTACACGTGTGTGTGTGTGTACACGTGTGTGTGTGTGTACAGGTGGTGAATCAGGTGAGTGGTCACTGCGGGTAACCTGGTGGGTGTGTTCAGTGCGGGTAACCTGGTGGGTGTGGTTACCCTGGTGGGTGTGGTCATTGCGGGTAACCTGGTGGGTGTGGTCACTGCGGGTAACCTGGTGGGTGTGTTCAGTGCGGGTAACCTGGTGGGTGTGCTCAGTGCGGGTAACCTGGTGGGTGTGGTTACCCTGGTGGGTGTGGTCATTGCGGGTAACCTGGTGGGTGTGGTTACCCTGGTGGGTGTGGTCATTGCGGGTAACCTGGTGGGTGTGGTCATTGCGGGTAACCTGGTGGGTGTGATCACTGCGGGTAACCTGGTGGGTGTGGTCATTGCGGGTAACCTGGTGGGTGTGGTCACTGCGGGTAACCTGGTGGGTGCGCTCAGTGCGGGTAACCTGGTGGGTGTGGTTACCCTGGTGGGTGTGGTCATTGCGGGTAACCTGGTGGGTGTGGTCACTGCGGGTAACCTGGTGGGTGTGTTCATTGCGGGTAACCTGGTGGGTGTGGTCAGAGCGGGTAACCTGGTGGGTGTGGTCACTGCGGGTAACCTGGTGGGTGTGGTTACCCTGGTGGGTGTGGTCACTGCGGGTAACCTGGTGGGTGTGGTTACCCTGGTGGGTGTGGTCATTGCGGGTAACCTGGTGGGTGTGGTCACTGCGGGTAACCTGGTGGGTGTGTTCATTGCGGGTAACCTGGTGGGTGTGCTCAGTGCGGGTAACCTGGTGGGTGTGCTCAGTGCGGGTAACCTGGTGGGTGTGGTCATTGTGGGTAACCTGGTGGGTGAGGTCATTGCGGGTAACCTGGTGGGTGTGGTCATTGTGGGTAACCTGGTGGGTGTGGTCATTGCGGGTAACCTGGTGGGTGTGGTAACTGCGGGTAACCTCGTGGGTGTGCTCAGTGCGGGTAACCTGGTGGGTGTGGTAACTGCGGGTAACCTGGTGGGTGTGGTCACTGCGGGTAACCTGGTGGGTGTGGTCAGTGCGGGTAACCTGGTGGGTGTGGTAACTGCGGGTAACCTGGTGGGTGTGGTCACTGCGGGTAACCTGGTGGGTGTGGTCAGTGCGGGTAACCTGGTGGGTGTGGTCATTGCGGGTAACCTGGTGGGTGAGGTCATTGCAGGTAACCTGGTGGGTGTGGTCATTGCGGGTAACCTGGTGGGTGTGGTCACTGCGGGTAACCTGGTGGGTGTGGTCATTGCGGGTAACCTGGTGGGTGTGGTAACTGCGGGTAACCTGGTGGGTGTGCTCAGTGCGGGTAACCTGGTGGGTGTGCTCAGTGCGGGTAACCTGGTGGATGTGCTCAGTGCGGGTAACCTGGTGGGTGTGGTAACTGCGGGTAACCTGGTGGGTGTGGTCATTGCGGGTAACCTGGTGGTGTGCTCAGTGCGGGTACCTGGTGGGTGTGGTCACTGCGGGTAACCTGGTGGGTGTGGTCAGTGCGGGTAACCTGGTGGGTGTGGTCACTGCGGGTAACCTGGTGTGTGTGCTCAGTGCGGGTAACCTGGTGGGTGTGGTAACTGCGGGTAACCTGGTGGATGTGCTCAGTGCGGGTAACCTGGTGGGTGTGGTAACTGCGGGTAACCTGGTGGGTGTGCTCAGTGCGGGTAACCTGGTGGGTGTGGTCACTGCGGGTAACCTGGTGGGTGTGCTCAGTGCGGGTAACCTGGTGGGTGTGGTAACTGCGGGTAACCTGGTGGGTGTGGTCATTGCGGGTAACCTGGTGGGTGTGCTCAGTGCGGGTAACCTGGTGGGTGTGGTCACTGCGGGTAACCTGGTGGGTGTGGTCATTGCGGGTAACCTGGTGGGTGTGGTCACTGCGGGTAACCTGGTGGGTGTGGTCACTGCGGGTAACCTGGTGGGTGTGCTCAGTGCAGGTAACCTGGTTGGGTGAGGTTACCCTGGTGGGTGTGGTCACTGCGGGTAACCTGGTGGGTGTGCTCAGTGCGGGTAACCTGGTGGGTATGGTTATCACTGCTAAGGAAGGGTGGTTATTGCGGAATCGTGGATATTGATGTTGGTCCTTACCAACGAGAGAGAGAGTGTCTAATGACGGGCCGGGTGTCCGCGCCTGTACCCTGGGGGTAACCTGGTGGGTGTGCTCATTGCAGTTAACCTGGTGGGTGTGGTCATTGCGGTTACCCTGGTGGGTGCGGTAATTGCGGTTACCCTGGTGGGTGTAGTTATCATTGCATAGGAAGGGTGGTTATCGCCGAATCGTGGATGTTGATGTTACCAACGAGAGAGAGAGTGTGTCTAACGACGGGCCGGGTGTCCGCGCCTGTACCCCAGGGGTAACCTGGTGGGTGCGGTCATTGCGGTTACCCTGGTGGGAGTAGTTATCACTGCATAGGAAGGGTGGTTATCGCCGAATCGTGGATGTTGATGTTACCAACGAGAGAGAGAGTGTCTAATGACGGGCCGGGTGTCCGCGCCTGTACCCAGGGGTAACCTGGTGGGTGCGGTCATTGCGGTTACCCTGGTGGGAGTAGTTATCACTGCATAGGAAGGGTGGTTATCGCCGAATCGTGGATGTTGATGTTACCAACGAGAGAGAGAGTGTCTAATGACGGACCGGGTGTCCGCGCCTGTACCCCAGGGGTAACCTGGTGGGTGCGGTCATTGCGGTTACCCTGGTGGGAGTAGTTATCACTGCATAGGAAGGGTGGTTATCGCCGAATCGTGGATGTTGATGTTACCAACGAGAGAGAGAGTGTCTAATGACGGGCCGGGTGTCCGCGCCTGTACCCCAGGGGTAACCTGGTGGGTGCGGTCATTGCGGTTACCCTGGTGGGAGTAGTTATCACTGCATAGGAAGGGTGGTTATTGCAGAATCGTGGATGTTGATGTTACCAACGAGAGAGAGAGTGTGTCTAACGACGGGCCGGGTGTCCGCGCCTGTACCCCAGGGGTAACCTGGTGGGTGTGGTCAGTGCGGGTAACCTGGGTGGGTGCGGTTATCACTGCTAAGGAAGGGTGGTTATTGCCGAATCGTGGATGTTGATGTTACCAACGAGAGAGAGAGTGTCTAATGACGGGCCGGGTGTCCGCGCCTGTACCCCAGGGGTAACCTGGTGGGTGCGGTCATTGCGGTTACCCTGGTGGGAGTAGTTATCACTGCATAGGAAGGGTGGTTATCGCCGAATCGTGGATGTTGATGTTACCAACGAGAGAGAGAGTGTCTAATGACGGACCGGGTGTCCGCGCCTGTACCCCAGGGGTAACCTGGTGGGTGCGGTCATTGCGGTTACCCTGGTGGGAGTAGTTATCACTGCATAGGAAGGGTGGTTATTGCCGAATCGTGGATGTTGATGTTACCAACGAGAGAGAGTGTCTAATGACGGACCGGGTGTCCGCGCCTGTACCACCACCACCACCACCCAACTCGGACCCCGTCAGCTGCTGGCGCTGCTGGGGGTACGGGGTTTGCTGGCCAGGGACTTGCTGGGCTTGGAGGGCACTGACCTGGCGGGGATCCCTCGCCCAGCGCACGCCATCATCTTGCTGCTGCCCCGTGCAGCCCACGTGAGTGACCTCTCCTCCTCCCCCCCCCCCCCCCGCCGGCAGTCTATGTAGACCGTGCGTCTTCTTGGTTCTTTCGGTAAAGTCATCACGTAGAAGGGAAGAAATAAATGAATAAAAATCAAACATGATAAAATGCAATTCTCACGACGTTTCAGCCACAACGCAAGCAGCCGTCCTCAGGTGAAGAACAGGTCTGTCGGAAAGACAGCGTCATTCACATCATTAACATCATCTACATCATCATCTACATCATCATCTACATCATCATCTTCTTTTTTTTCGGATTTAAAGCTTCTTTCGTGACTGCAGGGATTCATCTTCTTGGTTCTTTCGGTAAAGTCACCACGTAGAAGGGAAGTAATATGTTTTATTTTTAAATCCTTTATATTAAGTTTGCTTGCTTGCACGCTTACGACCGTGCAAATCTTTCGGTCGTTTTTTAACCCACTTCCCGTGATCCAATCGAGCTGACATTTTGCACACAGACTCGTTGTGCGTGACAATTGATTTTCGTGAAAAATTTTTTTCCAAATTTTTACACTGTTTAGGGAAATGTTTTTAAATATTTAATTACCAATTGCTTAATGGTGACAGACAATCATCTGACCCATAGGTGGCAGCCATCTCAAGCCAGAGGACGAGAGGACTCTAGCCGCCACGCATATAAAGGATTTATAGTGAAAAACTTTGTTTTTACGGGTTATTTTTTTATTATTTTATTACTTCCCTTCTACGTGACTTTACCGAAAGAACCAAGAAGATGAATCCCTGCAGTCACGAAAGCTTTAAATCGAAAAATAGACCGTGCGTGTGTTTGTGTACAGCTGGGGGGAGCGGTAGTGTAGCGGTTACACTATGAGACCTCCTTTACCAGTGGCAAAATATAGTAGCAATAGGTTTTTATCATATTCTTAGGTTTTTTCGGTAAAGTCACGTAGGTAAAAAATTCAAATTAATAAAAGTAAAAAATGAAATAAAAAAATCACGACGTTTCGGAGGCAGCACAGGCTTCCGTCTTTTTTAAAATTAATTTTTATTTTATACCTACGTGACTTTACCGAAAAAACCTAAGAATATGAATCCTTGCAGTCACGAAAGCTTCAAATCTCGAATTAGGTTTTTACCCTTTAAACTGGTACAAAACTGACACCTTTATACAAGGCATCATGTTTGCAATAACCACAACACAAGCAGTCAAAATGCAAAAAAACCTCTGATAATGGTAATGATATGGACCGATCAACTTCAAGGACAGTGCATATCATTATCAGAGTTTTTTTTTGCATTTTGACTGCTTGTGTTGTGGTTATTGCAAACATGATGCCTTGTATAAAGGTGTCAGTTTTGTACCAGTTTAAAGGGTAAAAACCTACTACTATAGTGTAGTGGTTAGCGCTACGAACCCGGCGACACGAGTTCGATTCCCGCTCACGGCCAACACCAGTGACGATTATCTGAACCGGTCCCGGGCCTCCCCTGGGTCGACTCAGCCTCAAATGAGTACCTGGTGAGGTTGTGTAAACATCGCCACTGGGGAGACAAAGGCGGTCGGGCGTGGTGCTGGCCACCCACCGCCTCGTGTGCCGTTCCGGCCTTCATAGGTGCTACTCGCTAACAGCACTTGCCCCTACAGTCTGTTACAGGCGGTACGGGGTGGTCTTTGTTTTGGCGGTCTATATAGACTGTACGTTTGTGAGTGTACTGGCAGTCTATATAGACTGTACGCGTGTGAGTGTACTGGCAGTCTATATAGACTGTACGCGTGTGAGTGTACTGGCAGTCTATATAGACTGTACGTGTGTGTGTGTACTGGCAGTCTATATAGACTGTATGTGTGTGTGTGTACTGGCAGTCTATATAGACTGTACGTGTGTGTGTGTGTGTGTACTGGCAGTCTATATAGACTGTACGTGTGTGTGTGTACTGGCGGTCTATATAGACTACGCGTGTGAGTGTACTGGCAGTCTATATAGACTGTACGTGTGTGTGTGTGTGTACTGGCAGTCTATATAGACTGTACGTGTGTGTGTGGTACTGGGGTGGCTAAAGCACAGCAGTTGGCACAGTAGGGGGCACAGTGGTGCATCAGCCAGTCATCTCGGTCAGTCGACCCGTGGCACCTGCTGGGTCTGCCCCGTGACCTCCTGCCAGCGGGCGTTCGACACTTCACGTGGCCTCAAGGTGCACATGGCCTGGCACAAGCGTCGTGGTGACGTCACCGCCACTTAGTGGCGAATGGCGGTAGTTGTTATTGTACTGGGGCGCGGTAGTGTAGTGGTTCGTGCACTGCACCCCGAAACCCGGCGACCCGAGTGGCCTCCTCCCCTAGGTCGGCTCAGCCTCAAACGCGTACCTGGTGCGGCGTGTGGTAACACCGCCACTGGGGAGAGACAAGGCGGCCGTGCGGGCCTGGTGCCGCTGTGGCTCTCATTACATCACTTGCACCCGCCCCCCCCCCCCCCACCACCCCGTGTGTGGGCTACACGGGGGACATTTGTCCTTTGTGCAGGACTCTGGAGAGGGGCAGAAGGGGGCGGCCGCCCCACGGTGACGTGTACCATTGGACCCAGCCGGCCCAGACGCTGTGCGGCATCTGGGTATCGTGCACGCCCTGGCCAACATCCCCCGCGCTGCACTGCGATTGGGTAATGCCGCGTCACGTGACCTGGGTTGTTGATGATGGTCGTGGTGTTGATGCTCTTAGTTCTTTCGGTAAAGGTCACGTGGGTAAAAAAATAAATAAAAATCAATAACAGTTTCACCTGAAGACGGAAGCTTGTTGCCTCCGAAACGTCGTGATTTTGTAGTTTTTATTTTTTATTAATTTCATTTTTTTACCTACGTGACTTTACCGAAAGAACTAAGCGTATGAATCCTTGCAGTCACGAAAGCTTCAAATCGTGGTGTTTGATGTTGATGATGTTGTTGATGGTGGTGGTGGTGATGTGGGTGATGGTGGGTGATGGTGGGTGATGGTGGGTGATGGTGGTTGATGTGGGTGGTGGTGATGGTGGTTGATGTTGGTGGTGGTGATGGTGGTTGATGTGGTGGTGGTGGTGATGGTGGTGATGTGATGGTGGTGATGATGGTTGATGATGGTGGTGATGGTGGTTGATGATGGTAGCAAACCGTGATATTAAAATAAAATACTTTATCACTCTGCTATTATAGAAGCGACCTGCCCATCGCAATGATCGCTCATCGTCATCGTCTTGCAGATTTATAGCGGGATACAAATACTCTGAACGCTGGACGTTGATTCTAAATGTGGAGGGGAAAAGCCGGAGGACCCCGAGGAAAATCGACGCGACTACAGGGAGACAGAGAGACTCAGACTCCAAATGTACAGCAAGCATCAGGGTCGGGATCGAACCCACGACCTCCTGTGTACCAGACGAGGTAGTTAAAATCTCCTAGCCACCGTGATGATGATGAGAGAGAGACTCAGACTCCAAATGTACAGCAGCAAACATTGTCAGGGTCGGGATCGAACTCACGACCTCCTGTATGTATACCAGTCGAGGTAGTCAACATCTCCTCGCCACCGCGATGATGATGAGAGAGAGACTCAAGACTCCAAATGTACAGCAGCAGGCATCGTCAGGGTAGGGATCGAACTCACGACCTCCTGTATACCAGGCGAGGTAGTCAACATCTCTCAGTGTCTGGGATTGAACCCACGACTTCCTGTGTACCAGGCGAGGTAGTCAACATCTCTCAGGGTCTGGGATCGAACCCCAACCTCCTGTGTACCAGACAAGGTAGTCAACATCTCTCAGGGTCTGGGATCGAACCCACGACCCCTCATGTGTACCAGGCGAGGTAGTCAACATCTCTCAGGGTCTAGGATTGAACCCATGACCTCCTGTATACCAGGCGAGGTAGTCAACATTTCTCAGGGTCTGGGATCGAACCCACGACCTCCTGTATACTAGGCGAGGTAGTCAACATTTCTCAGGGTCTGGGATCAAACCCACGACCTCCTGTATACTAGGCGAGGTAGTCAACATCTCTCAGGGTCTGGGATCGAACCCACGACCTCCTGTGCACCAGGCGAGGTGGTCAACATCTCTCAGGGTCTGGGATCGAACCCACGACCTCCTGTGTACCAGGCGAGGTAGTCAATATCTCCTAGCCACCGTGATGATGATGATGATGAAGAGAGATGCAGACTCCAAATATACAGCAAATGTCGTCAGGGTAGGGATCGAACCCACGACCTCCTGTATACCAGGCGAGGTAGTCACCGATGACTGGTACCAGCGGTGTCAAGATCGTCCTCTGTGGAGGAGGCTCGTGAAGGACGCTCCTGGGCAGTTGGAGGCAGTCGCCCTCCAACAACAACGGAGGGCGGAGGAGCGATGCTCACAACAATGAGTGGAGCGCCGGGTGGCTAAAGCACAGCAAGTTGGTACGGTAGGGGGCACAGGTGGTGCATCAGCCAGTCATCTCGGTCATCTCAGTCAGTCGACCCGTGGCACCTGCTGGGTCTGCCCCGTGACCTCCTGCCAGCGGCGAGCCTTCGACACTTCACGTGGCCTTAAAGTGCACCTAGCTTGGCACAAGTACCCTGATGACATGATTGGTGGTGATGTTGGTGGTGGTGGTGATGGTGGTGGCGGTGATGGTGGTGATGGTGGTGGTGGTGGTGGTGGTGATGATGGTGGTGGTGATGTTGGTGGTGGTGGTGATGTTGGTGGTCGTGGTGGTGATGTTGGTGGTGATGATGTTGGTGATGATATTGGTGGTGATGTTGGTGATGATGGTGGTGTGGTGGTGGTGATGTTTTGGTGATGGTGGTGATGTTGGTGATGTTGATGGTGATGGTGATGATGTTGGTGATGTTGGTTGTGATGGTGGTGATGGTGGTGATGTTGTTGTTGGTGGTGGTGATGTTGGTGGTGATGTTGGTGATGATGGTGGTGATGATGGTGGTGGTGGTGATGGTGGTGGTGATGTTGGTGGTGTGGTGATGTTGGTGGTGATGGTGGTGGTGATGTTGGTGGTGGTGATGTTGGTGGTGTTGGTGATGATGGTGGTGATGATGTTGGTGATGTTGGTGATGTTGGTTGTGATGGTGGTGGTGGTGGTGATGGTGGTGATGGTGGTGATGGTGGTGATGGTGGTGATGGTGGTGATGGTGGTGATGGTGGTGATGGTGGTGATGTTGGTGGTGGTGATGATGGTGGTGATGATGATGTTGATGGTGATGGTGGTGATGATGTTGGTGGTGGTGATGTTGGTGGTGATGTTGGTGATGTTGGTGATGGTGGTGGTGGTGATGATGTGGTGGTGGTGGTGATGTTGTGGTGGTGATGATGGTGGTGGTGTTGGTGATGTTGGTGATGGTGGTGGTGATGGTGGTGGTGATGATGGTGGTTGTTGTTGTTGGTGGTGGTGATGTTGGTGGTGATGTTGGTGGTGATGTTGGTGATGATGGTGATGGTGGTGGTGATGTTGGTGGTGGTGATGGTGATGTTGGTGATGTTGGTGATGGTGATGTGATGGTGATGGTGGTGGTGATGTTGGTGATGGTGGTGATGTTGTGTGTGGGATGTGGTGGTGATGATGATGGTGATAATGATGTTGATGATGTTGGTGATGTTGGTGGTGGTGATGTGGTGTGGTGATGTTGATGGTGGTGGTGATGTTGATGGTGGTGGTGATGTTGATGGTGGTGTGTGATGGTGGTGGTGATGATGGTGATGATGTTGATGATGATGGTGGTGATGTTGGTGATGTTGGTGATGATGGTGATGGTGGTGATGTTGATGATGTTGTTGGTGGTGGTGATGTTGATGATTTGATGGTGATGATGGTGATGATGATGTTGGTGATGTTGATGGTGGTGGTGATGTTGGTGGTGTTGATGGTGGTGATGTTGGTGGTGGTGATGATGGTGGTGGTGATGTTGGTGGTGGTGCTACAGACAGTGACTCCCCATTCAAGAAATCCTGGAGGAGACGAAGTCTCTGAGCCCCGCGGAACGAGGGAACGTCTCCATAGTGACAAGGTCACCACCACCATCACCACCACCATCATCACATCAACCACCACCATCATCACCACCATCACCACCATCACATCATCAC